GATGTCTCTGCTTTGATAAAACAACATCTTAAACTACAGTTTATAAAAGACAATAGTATCATTGCGGTAAGTTGACACATCCTTGTTGTCTGACATGATGAATAAATGAAAATAAATGGAATTATTAAATGACGGGGCAGTTTATGACCGCTAGAGTACAGATTAATATAAACTAGTCAGGGCGTGTTTGTTAAGAACAAAAATGTTTTTGTTACTGGACAAAACTTGATGCTACTCAGCTTCTATCTGTGTGTGTGTGTGTGTGTGTGTGTGTTTGTGAGTCGAAACTAGATTTAGGGACAGTCAGACACAGGAGGGACTTCCTTTGTGGAAAACCGTGGGGCTCATCTGGTGTCTCCGGGGTTGAAAGGGGGCTACGAAATGTGAGCGTGTGTGTATGTGTGCCTATGAATAGAAAAGCAGAATAGCATTGACAAGGGTGCTAAAAGGCTGTGTGAAGGCTGCTGGCTGGGGAACGAGGGATGATGCGAGGGGGGCTGATGAAATGTCCATCAAATCACAATCAAAGAACATAAGGGTGTGGGATCATCACTTTTGTTTTCCTTTTCTTTCATATGCACACATTAAAACATGCAAAAACAAGCACATAGATACACAAAATACTGTCACACCAAAAACTATATTTTCTGTCTTTCTTGCGCTAAAGCTAATTAAATATGTCAATAGGCGCTGCACACAGACCAGGCCTCACACGTTGAAGGAGAAGAGGGAGGAGAAAGACGGCCTCTTTAGAACCAAAAGCAAGAAACCTCAGACAGGATGGGTCATCACCAAATACTCTGAAGCCAACGTCCTGGGAGCGCGCCAATGGAAAGTCTCCTCAACCGACCAACGTCATTAGCTTATGATGACAGGATAAGGTGTCCACAATGAAAGATGCATGAGTACAAGGGGAGACAAACACCCTCAGTTTCCTCTCTGATGGCTCACCATGCGGTTCTTTACTAATGGAAGAAAAAGAAGAAAGATCGCTTACTGATACCAGTGAGGTATTGATGAGCTTGATACAGCCAGACAGAGCTCAGTTAGATATTTATTCTTTATTAATTAACATCCACCAAAAGGACAAACAGATTATGAGTCATGGTGTAAATCTTCAGCAAGCCACTGATTAACTTCTGATCGAAACTGGGATGGTTTTCAATTGATCGCCACGACCGGCCGATCACTTTCATATTTCTCTCACACGCACGCACAATATACAATTTTACTTAAAGCTACGCCCGTGTCTGAAATTCGCTGGATTTTAGATGACTGACATTGCTGTTTTTTGTGTGGTTTTTGAGCAACAATGAAATTTAAAAAAAATTCGGATTTTACTAATTGGTATAAATGAACAAAAGTTTTATCTATTTTTCTAATATTCACCTTCTTCACCTCACAAAACACACCATCTTTCTGCCCCCACCACACATGCAGCTGGGCCTGTGTTTCCATCGGTTTTCACATTGTTGGAGAAGAAAATGACATCATTTATGTCAGAGACAACTATGTCATTCTTCATGGTAGCAAAGTGCAATGCACGCCTTTTTGCATTGACGTTCAAAACCTCCTGCTGTAGTGCACCATATAGCCATTACATGAGGGACACACAACTCCTTCATGCTACTTCTCATTAGCTTATTGTTAACGGATAATTCTCTCTGTATTGTCACTGTTCTCTCTCCCTCTATTCATGATAGGAACATACTGTAGCATTAACACCAGACAAATGTTTTGTCAGGTAAAGTGATGAAGTTGAACGGATTAGGATGAAATATTAATAGTATGCACATAGCATCCAGTGCAAGTAGTTGTAGCACACTGTGTCAAGCTTCAGGGACAGAACCCATCAAGAGCTTGCATGCAATCAAACAGCAGCCCTTTAAAGAACGTCTAATAGGATAGAATCCAAGTGAAAATAATGACGTTAATAAAAGCTGTACCAGTGATTAGAGAAACCACACGCTGAAACCTGATGAGCAAACTAGAGCTACTAGGTGAGTTTGTATGGTCATAAAACAACATTATTTGCTCAGTATATACACTATTGTGTGATGTTCCCACATTACCTTTAAGGAGGAATGAGTTGCAACTGAGAGCACTACGGCACTTTCAGTAAAGCAGAGGGAGAGGAGAGAAGGAGAGCTGTGGCTAGCTGCATTAACATACAGATAGAATAGGTAAAGAGTTTTAATGTACTCAGGAGGCTGGGGGAATGGGGAGGTGGAGCGAGAGGTGGGGAGGAATAAGGGGAAGAGGAGGAGGAGAGAGAAAGACAATCAGCAGGCTGGTGCCACAAAGGCAGGCATCCATGACCTTATATCTCAGTTCAGAGGAAGAAAATGAAAGGCCTACAGGAGGACGGAAATATAGGTAAAGGAAAGACGAGAGGGGTGGAGAGAAAGGAGGAGTAGAAAATAGAGAGAAAGAGGGAGAACGGTGGACATTTTAAACAGAGCACAGGGAGCACCGTAAATTTGAAGGAAGTGGGGCAGAGGAGGAGGAAAGTGAGAAAAAGGAGACATTGACAGGAGTGATGATAAAGCAACCATAAAGGGAGGAGAAGCAGTGTGTGGTTGGTCCAGAGTCCTGGATCCATCCATCCATACATTTTCCTCCGCTTATCCGGGGTCGGGTCGCGGTGGCAGCAGGCCAAGCAGGCTGACCCAGACTTCCCTCTCCCCCCGCAACATTTTCCAGCTCATACTGGGGGATCCCGAGGCGTTGCCAGGCCAGCTGGGAGATATAAAGTCCTGGATCCATTGTGGATAAATCGCGTATTCATCGGTGGAGGACTAATATCGTCTGAGAAATATTGGTACCCGATTTACGGTGTGACCCATGTGCATTATTTTGTGTTGGAATGAAGCTTTGGTTGTGAAACCAGGTCATGAAGGACACAAGAAACAAGACACTTCAGTCTCTCTTCAAATATTAATTTTCACTCAACACAAACAATGGAAGTTGTGTTCAAATTAAGGTGAACAGTTACAAAAACTAAATTGAGCAGCACAACACAATCGCAAGTCTAACTTCCCCAACAGTAACAGTGCATGGTCTCTCCTTCAAGAGAGCCACTTCTGTCTGGAGGCAAGAATTCACAGCGAGTGTCTAGACAACATTTCCCTTTACTCCTCCTTTCTGGTGTGAGACTGCGAACACACAATCTGTTAGCAGCTCTGCATTTACACCCTCCAGCCCCTCGCCCCTCCTCTCTCTGTGGACCGAACTGTCGCTGTCCTTGGTCCTAACACAGAAACCGCAGCTTGTTGCAACTCTTAAAAGGCGGTTTGTGCAAACTGCTGTGGTCTTGTGTGCTAATGCTAGAACAGAGAAAATCACCCAATATTGGGAAGGAAGGCATGTGGTGTGGCTTGTGTACCACTCATTGACAGGAAGAGCTGGGACTAAGTGGAGTCTTCTCCGTTATCTAGAAAACTCTACTGTACAAATAATCGTTGGCTTTGGTATTTGAATATTAATCAATTTGATAACTTACAGCTAACTTATTCTCAGACAGGAAGTCTTAGCCAAGTGAAAATCAACATGAACTTTTTTTATTTTAAAGCACACACACGTACATGTATGTACTATATTAAGCCAGTTAGAGATGGGACAACAGGCTCATGTTTTTAGACTGTTTTTACTTTTGTTCATACTTTTCTATATATTTTTGTGGTACCCCTATCTACACGGTGGCATCTCTCGCACTGTCCTGATGTGATAAAGATGATTTAATATTCAGACCAGAAAGAGTTGTCCCTGAGCGGGCTTCATCTGTTGCTCAGAGTATTATATTTGGGTCAAAGAGAACAATGGAGCCGGGCTGTTATTCAAACGCAAGATGTTTTGCTGAGGCATCACCATACAGACCTTTACAGAGAGTTTGATTTGTTATCGGTGGGATTCTGTTGTCCCAATATGCTGTAACTTAGTCCTCTTTGTATGCATTCTTCACTCTCACACTCATGTACTACAAAATCTTCTGGATTTCAACTATACAATTTTGAAATAAAAGCTGATTCATCTACATACAATACTCAGATTATTTAAATGTTACTTAATTTGTGTGAATATTTGTTGTAATCCGTTGGTGTTAAATGATTAAAAATCATTGTGCTGCTACCGTATAAGCTCTGAGAAAACGGATTTATGGATTTTTGAACTATGCGAGTTATTTCCTATTGCGATTAGAAATGTTATTATTTCAGTGAGGACATACTGGATAAGCTCCACACTGACGGAGGCTATTCAATGTAACCTGAATGTTGTGCCGGCTATAAAATAGAAACTATTCATGTAAATGACAAAGGTGGTGTTTAATAAACCGGAAAACTGACCAAGTGATTTACATTTATGAATAAAAGAAAACTTTGCCTCTACATGTCTCTAATTTTGCAGATGAGACATGAGGTCACTTTGGTGACAGCAAACCTTTAAGAATTTGAGAATGAATGATGTTCAGTACTGTTAGATGTTAAAACGATGTAGTCGACATGGACACACTTTAACGTTAAACGCACAAAGACGGGCAGACACACACTTAGAAATAATTTCCCCTCGCTGAAATTTTCATTACGGTACAAAACTTAATTTTGGTAAATAAAATTGTTTGACAGACTCTTGTACAACAGCTAGGCCTGATTCATTCAGGGTGAAACCGCAGTGAATTTAACTAATTATTGCTGAAGTAGGTCTCAGTCCTACCCTCAAGGTTTCTCATTGGCCCCTCGCTGACATCTTTCATGATAGGCAAAAAGTTCATTGCTGTTGTTTCCACACAGCAATCACAACTTTGAGGGTCCTTGACCCAAAACACCTCAATCACTGCATAAAATACAATTGCATATTCCCAAAGCTACACACATACTGTAATATAATTATGTTTCATTGAATTTTCATCAGAATGCATGAATATAACCACCGTCTTTACACAGTTATTCAAAACTTATATTCTGTGGTTGGAACTATTCAATGAAAGTTTTGTTTTAACTTACCATAAGGTTATTAGGGGCAGGCCTTTCTTTGGGTTGCCGCCGCATACTGAAAAAGAGAGACACAAGCAGAGTATATCCAGCTACGATTCAAACTGTGTTTGTAAACGTGTGAGAGACTCTTCATTTCAACGGCATCATTTTCATTTGCAGATGAATATTCAAGAGGAGCCTTTTACGCCACAGAATAAACTGAAAGAGAGGGCTCGATACAAAAAACACTGTAGCCTAACGACACAGCACATGCAGTTCAAATAGAATCATTTAATTAATATTTCTAATTTCAATTATTCGATCTTATTACAGTTACCACATTCATTCAGAGGATGTATGCGTGTGTTTCTATGAGTATGTATACTGGGGACTTTAAAGGAACTAGTGCTGGGGCCTGTGTGCAGTTCATCATGTAACTGGTTTATGTATTACAAAGATTGGCCCATGACCATCTAAGAATAGCCTGTGAGAAGATAATGCCTGATCTGCACCGAGGCAGGGCAGGTACCTCAGGCTGTCCTGAGAGAGAGAGAGAGAGAGAGAGAGAGAGGGGTGCCCTGTTTGAGTAAATAAAGCAGGCATGGGGGATAAACAACAGATGGTACAGCTAGCTAGTGAGTGTTGCGTGCACACACACACATACACACACACGCACAGCTTGCGTGTGGTTTGGGTGTGTATGTCGATGTTTGTGCAACTGTAAAGGTTACAAGAGGCTAATGAATCAGAGGCAAACACAGGGTAAACATTGTCTTTGTCCTGTTGCATGAGATGAACCAATCATTCCTTGGCTTTTTATTCAATATCAGCAGCACTGAATATCATAGCTAAAACCATTATAACCACAGCGCATTAACACACAGGCAAAGGTACTTAAATCCCATTGTAGTTCTATTATACCATTGATTCATCTACCATCATTTTGTTCATCTATGTCAAATGCAGCTTGTGGTCTTTGTAATTGTTCAGTCTGGCTCTGTGGGGCTCAGGTGGCCGACTGTGCCACACATATTAAGCTATTATGAGCTACAATCACAAACAAATGCACAATGCAGTCAACAGCCATTGCAAACAGACACGATTCCATTTAAAAGCTGAAGATGTTAAATTAAATAATTTCGGTGACCGTCCTTCTAGAAACAAAGCATATTAAACAGTAACTGACTCACCACTGAGTGATGAAGTGAACAAACTTCTCACTGAACTGGCCGACAGGAAATACTGGAGGATCCTGTGGAGAAGAACAAAACTATTCAGACAACTAGTAACATTTTAAACTGGGGCTCTCTGCACTGACTGAAGGAACCTGACACGTAACTGCACGCGAGTTAAATGAAAAAATAAAAAATAGATTAAGGGTGGTTTACATTAACAGGGATATGAACTAAGATTAAGGTCAGACATAGTTTAGATTAATTTAGTTTCCAAATATTAAAACTAATTTAATCCTATCTGTGTTGGGCAATTCAATTAAACACTAGATTAATAAAACACAGTTTTAGGATTTTGACCAAAGTTAAAAATATGTTTAAACCTCCATAAAGAGCTGAATTGGCAATTATAAAACTTTGGTTTGAAACTTATTTTTCTCCTGGGAAACTGTTAAGAGGACTGCTTATGATGTAAGACTAAATTAAACCTGATTAGTTAGATAAAATATTTATAAGTTGACCACATTTATCCACTAGACAAAGCGAGATAAAGAAATAAGTTGAACAACATGGCCACCACTGAAACACAGAGTAACATCATAATAGAGCAACAACAGCAGGATTTTCCAACAATCTTTAGTGCATATTAAAAAAAGACACGCTCCCAAAGGTGCCCAAGTTTTATTAAGATCAACACTAATTATACAACTGACACAACATAATGTTCAGAGTATATAACGTTGAAGAGTCTGGATTCAGTGGAGTTCACAGTTAAGTACCTTTTTCTTGTACGAACACTTTTGTGCTTGCCCACCTCAAGGCTACACTCTCCACTCTTCATCCTCTGTATTCATGGAAGCATTGAGTGGTGATTGGCAGTCAAGTTAATGTACAACACCTGCTGGCTGACACAACATTTGTCTCGTTGGGTCAACCAATCAACAAAGCCGGCGATTCAAAAGGTGAAAGTGCAAATGTGAGAGACACTGTTGTATAATAAAGCTGTCATGGTTTGGATTTCAAACACCATCATGTTTCCATCAGAGTTTGGCTAAAGTGAGAGGATGGCGGCTAGACAACGTGATGGCAATAACAAGGTTTGGTACAGTAGGAAACGGACGGTTGTTTGGATCTACTTTATAATCCTGTGGAGAGAGAAAGTGTAAAGCTTTAAAATGGTACCAATCTCAAGAGATACCTGAAGGTGCACCTGGAAGCAGAAACTGGGGTAATTAAAGATGTTATAAACTGTGTTAAGCCATTCAGATGAGTTTCTGAATGGTGGAGAATGAATGAACTGGCTATTATATTTTACAGCACATCATTTTTAAATAAGCAGCATTTTTTTTAATTTTTATCAAACAACATTAATCATCAATTATGGCAACTGAAGCTAGAACCAAACTGTTCAAACTACTCAAATGTTCATAGTTCTCTTTCACTAAGAGACTAAAATTGACGTAAAATATGAGGGTGACCATATTTGACTAAAACTTACTTGGACATTTCGTCTCAGAACGACTAAATATTGCTGCCAAAATGAACACTATGAGTGTGTTTGTGTGTGTCAGGCGTGTGACATATTGTCAATGGAGGGTCTATGAACCGTGTCATGTAGAACAGCTGGGCCAGACTGCCCCTCACCTCATTACTCCATCCATTTCCCTAATCTCACTGTGCTTCTTTCCTTTTGCCGGTGGTTAATACTTACTTATTTTACCCTTAATATCCTTGGAGAAAAATCTCGGACCACTGCATAGAAAACGCCGTCTCAAATTAACACCTGTATTCTCTTTTTTTTGTCTCAATGCCAGTGAACTTCAGAAGAGAGCAACGAATGAAATTGTGTGTGGAAAGCACAGGATTAGCGTTTTCATCTTTTAAAATCTTCCTATATGTGCCAGATTGTTGAAATGTAACATAGTGCATCCTGACGCACAGCATGTGCACAAGACAGATGTTTACCTGAGATACAAGAGGACGATACTATCAGACAATATCAAAACTAAGTTGACCAGTGAAGAGTAGGTAGTTAAGACCTACAAGATGTACAATATGCATAAATACAGAACAAAAATACACAAAGTACTCAGATATGCACAAAAATCATAAAGCCTGGTTTCACAACCAGGCGTTTATTCAAATGCAGGGAATTAAACCTCTTTACATCTGAAGCCCTGCTGTGCCATTAAAAACACCTCTGGGCAGTGTTCGCTATTCCTTAATGCTCTGATCGGCAGGCTCTCGCAAAGCATGATGCATGAACCCATTTAAATTAACAAAGGAATGGGTTCCCTTCTAATCTCACTGCACTTCACAGTGCTGCCGCCGCTTGGATGAGCAATATATCATAGCGCACACACACACACACACACACACACACACACACACACACACACACACGATTGGATAAACTGGGCCCACAGTTTGCGTAAAGTGTTGCCTACACAAACTCATTTATGTGTTGTGTAGGCTCTGTATCTGATGCAAAATCTCTCTCTGCACTTTCCCCACATATTTGCCTTTTTGCAGGCACAAACACATCTATGCATGTATTCATGTCTCCAGCTAAGAGGAACAACGCTAAAGCTTTGATGTGGCAGCAGGCAATGGCACAAAAGACAAGCAGGCTGATGAAAGTAACTAGTCTGCGTGAATTATTCCTCTGGTGGTCAATGCGCTGCGCTATGAGACAGAACACACACTACGAGGGTACGAGGGTACAAGTAAATATACATGTCATTGCCGTGAAGCAATTATTAGGCAAAATTAGATCAGTAATTACAGGCTTGAAACTAAAGTGGGAGTTCTTTATTAGTGGAGCCACTTGCTATTCAACACACATTAATGGCACATTAATGAGGGTGGACAGCAGACAGATGGTGGGAAGAACTACAGAGAACTTCCTGTTCAAGACATAGACTGAATAAGGCGAGCATGTTTCTCTGCCATTCACTAATACCAACAAACATTTCATAAGATGCACCGGATCATAGTGTAGCGTATTTACATGCACTTAAATGGAGGATAGCTAAATTAACTGAAATTGAACAACCACGGGGTTAGGGCTGGGCGATATGTATCTATAAAAACAATATAGAAATGTCTAGCATTTATATTTTTTCTATAGCAATGTTAAATAACCAGCAGCTGAAGTGTGTTACAGCAATATCTACGTCAGTTGGTCGACACTTTACGTTCTGACCCTTGCATGAGGGAGCGAACCTGTTTTGCCATCATGTAGAGCAGCGGTTCTCAACTGGTCTGGCTGCGGGACCCACCATCACCCCTTAAGCCGCGACCCAAAACAAGGAAAATTTTAAACTTCTCCAATGTATTTAATGAAAAGATGGTGCAGTTTGAACCTGAGCTGAAATTGTCCTCTTTAGTCGTGGTAGTAGGGAGCTCTCTTGTGCAGATCAATTGTTCCTGTCAGTCCCCGTCCCACACGTTTCACATAAACGAGTAAAACTGTTTTGTTTGTTATGTCTGTAGATTCGACCATTTGTAATGTAAAATGACCACTTGCCTTAATTTGAGCTGTGGTCTGTTGTTTGATGTCATCCGACATGTCTTCAATTCGTCTACTTATAGTGTCATTTGACAGAGGTATAGTTTTCAGTTTATCCTCTGCTGATATTAGCATTACAAGGCATTAACGCCAAATATTGTTATGGAGTGTGAATAGACGGCACTCCACTGCATAAAAATCCCCTTCAAAATAAAAGCACAGGATTTGTTTTTTTTTCAGGCAAAGGCCCGCGACCCACTGAAAACGGGTCCGCGACCCACCACTTGAGAATCACTGATGTAGAGGGCACAACATGCAGAAACTTTCTCTTAAGTTTGCCTCATGCCGGTCCCCATTATAGGCAAGTTTGGAGTGGAGGCTATCCGTTGTCAATAACTGGCACAAAATGCCTTTTTTCTCTTCTTGAGCTTAATGGACTAAAGACTACAGCACACAGAAATGCGTTTATGTACGACATAAAGAAGTTTATAGAAAATGAAATAATTTATGGAGAAACTGTGCACACAGCCAGATAACAGATAATAATTAAATGTATAGCGGCAATTTTTTACTTGGTATCTAAACAGGTCAGGCCTGTTTAATAAGACATAAGCAAGGCCTACATTTATTTTGAACTGTTATGTTTATTTTGAACCAAAGTTCTTAATACAATTTGTCAAGTATGTGATTGTGGACAACTTGTTTTTTGGATTATTCACAAAAACTTAGACACTGTTTCTCGAAAGAGATATTGCTTTTGAATTTTTAAAATGTCATTTTTAAACTGGCTTGATAGTGCTAGGTATGTGACAGAATGTGTTGTAATTTAGGTAAACAACCTTGGAAACGTCCATCTGTCTGGTAAGCTGTGACTTGCAAACACTTTTTCTTTGTTACATTTTATTTTCTACTGATGTCATGATTTTCAAGGTCACTTCTCCTTGCCACAAAATATATTTCAGAATCTTTGTTCCTCTGTGTCGGCACCTTGAGATTTGAGATTCACCCGGGAGAAAATCCTCTGTATACGTTGATGTGTCTACCTTAAAACTGTTCTCTCCTTATTTATTTGGTCTTTATGGTGTTTGTGTATGATAGAAAATGAACAAAAAAAGAGAGGCAGACTGTTACACTCCACCCCCCACCACACACATACCTCTAGCTACAATAATATTAATGATCCACTCACAGAAGCCTATTACTCATTCGGCCATTAAAGCAACTTTCAAATCCACAGTGGATAAGTCACACACAATATCAAAGCATCACAGACAAAGATATAAAAAGGTATTTGGATCACATGTACAGTATGTACTAATGGGCAATACTCACTACATGTCAATGAGTCAGATATAATTGATCACATCTGCCATGATGTTAAAGTCAGGTGTGCGTAGTTCAATTAAAGATACCGTAGCTTTAAATTAATTACTCTATGTTATCAGTGGAAAGTTCACAATGCCTCTAAATTCTACAAGTTCTACTATAATGACATTAAACTTTCTTTGTAAAGCACTTTTCAAAACATTTGGCCAAGCAGTTGCATTTTGTACCAGCTGAAGGTGTGAGAGAGTTATTTGGCTTAAATCTGAATACAACAAATACTGTCATACACACTGTCAAATATTACACCTGGGTTTGAGACAGGACGCTAAGATTGGGATAGACTTTGGAGGACCCGAAAGAAAAGATTTTAGATTTGGGAGCCCTCGGGAAGAACACAGTTTCTTATTTGATCAAATATGTGGTAACTTGCATACTTTTCCAGAACAGAAATCTGAACATTGGCTGAAGCCAGGTTCAACATTTGTGTTTAATTGTGTTATTTCATTAGAGCCAACGGTTGTTATAAAGAGATTTTTGGATATCTCTTTGTATCACTCCATGAATCAGAAAATAATATATAAAAAAAAATGTCAGAATATAAATATTGAATCAATTATAAATATTGAAGTAATGCATTATCTAATGCTAACCTTTGGTGAATTTAGGAGAATCTACAGACAAACTGAATGAAAAGAAACACTTTAATGTGTACTTTGGAGGATGTATTTTCACTAGTCTAAAAGAAGACAATGTTATGGAAGCAAAACAGTCCAAAAACTCAAAAATGAACAGTGCATGAAAAACACTGTTTCTGCCCGAGTTGTCTTCCCTTAATGAGGTTGTGAACTTCTCTGGGTATTCTACTGCACATACATCCTAACTCTAGTGCAGTCCTCAACCTTTAAATTCTATGTGAGCGACTTCCATCTTTCCAAAGGGTGCTTATGCTCTTGTCTCTTCCTCTGAAGCACTGCATTAGCTGGGACAGTAAGGCAGTGCTGGCTCGCTAGGGACAACATAAATGTTCTCTCGCCTCAAGGGGAGGAACAGGACAAGGCACAGGAAAAATAGTTTTGAGTGATGCCTCTGTCTAGCTGACTAATGAACAGTTCAGCCGGGGTCAATCCATTACAACCAAAAGCATTTAATTATTAATTACGGCCAAAGCTATAGGCAGTTAAGGGCAAGTGACATTGTATGTTAAATGTGTGATATAGCTGGTGGTTGGGGTGGGGTGTGGGGGGGGGGGGCTGGTTTAGGCTGCAGAGGTATTGTGGCTTTTCTTCTATCAGTGCACGTCAGCAAAGAACTCAAAAAAAGGAGAGAGAGGAGGGGAAGGTTGTGATTGCTGCTTTTGATGAAAAAATAAGCAGTGTGAGCTTACGCATTCATGGACACCGACATAATAAAATAGCTTGTCCATGCATCAAGTAATCGAAAACTGTGTGTGTTTGTGTGTGAGGGGACATGAGAGCATTTCAGAATCAGATGTAATCTAGGTAAACTCATTATAAAGAGCGTCATAAATACGGCAGACATCACTAAAACTAATTTCATCATATACTTCTGTAATGTGTTTCCGTCTATTTTTCTTTTGCTGGGGTTATTCCAGTGTTACAATTAATTACAAGCAAAATGTGAAATTGTTTGATTGAATGAAAGATGAAGTGCAGGAGCAAGTTCAATTTTAAACAAAGAAAAAGAAGGGCTATCCGTTTTTACAGAGTAATAGATATTTTGGTTACAATGACATCTTGCAAATTATCTACATCAACGTTTTTTTGTATCTGTTGCTGCTTTGTTTGTTCATCTTAGTTATTTTTGCAGATTCCCTTTTTTGTTTTTGTACGGTCCGACTGTATTTATATGCGTGTATGTTTATATGTAGTGTGTATATTATGAAATTAATGTGTTATTCCTTTTTTATAGAGAAACAAACCCTGTGCCCATAAGAACCCATAAGAATAGTCCTGGTTAAACAAATGCTTTGGTATTGGCTCTGTAGTGCTCTGAATTCAGCTTTGTTGCTGTATATGTTTGTGTGTGTGTGTGTGTCACTCATGACAGGTCCAACCTCTACAGTAATGTGCGTGTGCATATGTGTATTGCCTGAGGCAGTTGCATAGGGTGAAGGGTTGAGTGAATGGGGAGCAAAGCCGCCTGAGTGGTTTGCTTCATTAGGAAACAAAATATAAGCTTTCCGGGCCATTAGGACTGACTTTAGATGCAAAAGCACATAAGACGACGACTCACCTCATCAACGATGCATTGCAGTAACTGGAGAGGCTGGAGGAGGAGAGACACAGGGAGATGAAAAAAACATGGCAGCCTACAAGGAATTTCTTGGCAATAGGGAAAATCAATAGTGTGATAAAAAAAAAAAAAAAAAGTATCTACTTAAATTAATCAAATGCAGCGAGCTCAGGCAAAGCAATCCTTCAGCTCCTGTATGTTTTTATTATTCCATAATGGCACCTAATGTGATACCAGCAGTTTATCCACAATCTAATATTTCATTGCAAAAATGCAATTTTAGTGTTTTTTTTTTTTACAAATGAGAGAGTCAACCAAGAGTAACAGACTATAGTGTGGGAAACCTCCATTTTCTTTATTTCTATTCTAACGCCATAAAACTCACCATTAAAGATCCTTGATTTTTCTGAATCTGTAGGAAGAGACAGAGAAGAGGGGACGAGGCAATATGTAATTAGCGTGTCATAATCAAGACGTCGCACTTGGACACATTATGATCACTAGGAGAAAATTATTGCTTTCCTGTTGGCAATTTGTGAGTATGCGTTAACGCCATTTACATAATGAAAACACACAAATGTTAATGGCCTTGTTCTCATTTGTGGAGAATGGGGGTAAAAGATCCGCTAATGCTAATTTTCAGAGTAGTACTTTATTCATACCCTCCAGGTTATCTAGATGTGCTGGGATAACTGTTACAAACAGCAAGCTTTGTAATGAGCATGCTCAATGTGTCGATTTCTCAGGTGCAACACTGACAATAAAGCGGCCCGGACACGGTAAGTTACCTGCATAATGATGGCAATAGGGCCACCGGGAAAAAAAAAAAAGAAAGTGATTTGAGAGGGCATCTTTAAAAAGGTGCAGAAAAAAAAATCACCCCGGATAACTAGTGTTGGGCTTGGCAATCACAGGAAACAAAATATAGAAACATACATCTTAGACATTCTATACTTATTTGATTTACTAGATGCACTTTCGATGGACAGTCGAAAGCAAAACATATGAAAGGAAAAGAATACGAGCTAGAACAGGAACTTTTAATTTGGAAGATCTAGACTCTGAAGATGCGAGATACTGTCTTTTAAAATGTGACACTGCAGCGAAACTATAAAAAGCATTTAGTTTCCCCAAGTAAACCCCCCAGGGCTGAATTCATTAGAACAATCAGTTTTAATTTCTAAAAACCTAAATTTATACCTCCATCATATACACTAAATTATACAAGCCCTGAAAACTAAGCTCGGCTGAACGTCTAAGAATGTTTGGTAAATAAATTGCTCATTTCTCCGGATCTTTTGACAGTGCATTAGAGCACTTATTGATTCACTCAATTAAATACAGGTTTTCACACTCTGCAAATACCAAGAGACTCCTAAACTGCCTCTATATCCAGTTTTGCCTGATTCAGACACATTAAAGGCAACTATGGAAAACGAATTTGTTCAGAAATAATTACTAGGACAAAATTGCATGCTGCTCCAGGGGTTGAAATTGGATAGTGGGAGACTAACTTATTCAAGCATAATTGAGCACTTATTCTTCTTGTACGAGGTAGCTTGACCACATATCAAAAAGAGAGCTTTAAAAATGCCTTCTTATCTTTCCCTCCTAATAGTCTCATCACTGTGGGCTGATTATGTGGTCGACATACTGTATATCTGCATGTTCGTCCTGAGGGCAAACATTGCTTAATATGACATTTATACTTAAAGAATTTCCAATAATTCATTTCTTCACAGTTTCTTCTGACACCTGGTCAAAGAATAATAAACTAATGTATGTTCGACAAGCAAGGATGTTGTGTTTGTTGCAGAAGGTGTGAAGGGACCCCCGTCCTATAGGACTGTGTATCAACTGTATGTATCACTAAATGACAAGCTAGTTGTGTAGAACATCGGCTCTGTGTGTCTCTGAGCTGGAGAGCCCTGATACAAGTGGCTTTGTGATGATTTGTGAGCCACATCAAGATTGTTTTTTTTTTTGTTTTTTTTTTAAGTATCACAGTGGGCCCGGAGTGATAATAAGAAGTCACAATTTTGAGATATCAAATGATTTCTGTTCCTTTCAAGAGCCATTCAATAAACACTTCTAAAAGATCAGATGACTGGTTCCCTCCTTAAGAATTTCAAAGATACTTCTTCAAAGGTAAGGAATTGGAAAACTCATACAAAAGGCTCCCTTTGTGATAAAAACCATCAATTTCAACAAAGGTTAACATGCATGTTTGGGTTAGTCAGGCAACAAGGAGATATCGCTACAGAAAAGGGGGAGATGGAGAGAGGTCCTTTTCTCAGTTCTTTTCTTTAATATTAGTCACTCTGTTAGCCATGCAGGGCAAAATGCAGCTCTTCTCTGATTTCCCCCAAACTGAAAAGCCTATTTAGCCTTTTACTTACCTGTTTGTTTTGCAATAGAATTAGTTTTATCAATGTCAAAATACTACATCTTAAAAATAATGTATTAATAATTAGCTCTATAGGGAAGCCATATACAAGGTACTCAAAAATGTTTTGGTGACAATAACTATCATGGTGATAAATAGTGAGAGATGTGGGGAAGCTTTACATACCTAAGACAGAGAGGGAAGGGTCAATATTCTTTCCAGATCATTTGTACACTAATCTAAAGCCTACAAGGGAAGCCTAATACACTAACTAATTACTTAAAGAAGGGCATGTTCCCATGGAAAGTATAAACCAGTTTAAAGCTGGCATAAGGGGCTGGAAAATTACCGCAAACATTGTTTACAACACACATACAGTACATAGTACTGCGACAACGTTTCTGTTGAGAGGAAGAAACAAAGTAACAGGGAAAGCGTCTGCGCTGTTTGATGGATGCAGTGATGTGTAATGGAAGCTCCTGAAACGTATACACACAAATAACTGACGTGGTATTTCATCCAAAGATTCATTCAAATCTGTGAAAAAAATGTGACAAAATACAGAGAAACAAAAAACAACCATAGAGCAAACAAATCAATCAGAAGCAATAGCGCTGGCGGCTGTATACACATCACATCAGGTCTAGTGTCTTCAAAGACTTTCAGAGCGAGCCGTGCAAAAACTCCATTAACTCCCGACAAAGGACGCAAATGAATCCTGACATGTGGTGAAGTGGATTTAAAGAGACCTTCTCTAATCATGACAAACATGAGGCGATGATTCCACTGTGTGTGCATACACAAGAGAAGGAATGAGGGACAATGCATCAACTAACCGCAAATAAAAGCAAATCATGAACACCTCAAAGCCAAATTCAACTTTAACAACTCACTCTGTATTTTGCACAAGTCTACAGTGGAAACTCAGATGCCGCTGAATCTCTTCCAATCTCTCTCTCTCTCTCTTTCATCTTCTCCAACTTCTCCCTCAGTATGTGCTAAAATGTTCTCTGTGAAGTGTAGCAGGGCTTTTTTTTTTTTGCACAGACAGCTGTGCCAGCGTCTGCAGAAATGACAGCTTAGGCCCGAGGACCTTGGCTGGCTGCGCCTGACGAGCTGGATCCAAGCGCTCTCGCCACACCGCTCTGCTACAGCCTGCAGGTGAACTGTCTGCAGCACCATATGGAGTTAGGGGAAAATTAACACTGAGAGGAGGAAAGCTGCGTGACAGTGGAGAGCCTAAACTACCAACTGAGAGGTGTTTCTAATATTTTGTCTACTTCGTTTTTTATAGATGAGGTTAGATTAAAACAACGTTTGCAAAAATACACTAACAATTAACATGATAATGGAAGCATTAAATGAAGGAAGGAACAGTCATACCCAAGGCTGTAATCATACACACACTCCGCACACAGATTGATCATCAAGTGAATAGCTACATCACAACTGTAATCTCACAACCCATTGGCTCTCAGTCTGATGACGACAAGCCTCTGGACGGAACGGACGATACCTCTGGGGTTCTGGCGTAACCAGCGGATATTCACGCAAAGACTTCCTTTTCCGCGCGCCACTGTCTACAATACGATGAGCAACTTGAGATACGCAAACGGAGTCGAGACGTCGTTTACGACAGGATAGTTTCACACGTAGATGGTTTACAAGCAAATCTTAGCTCATAAAAAAGCGAAATAATCGTCAGTTTCCGACAGTTTTCCTGAATTCAACCAAAGCCAGCTCAAACGTGATTGGTCAATACTACTCGGACTATAAACAGAAACCATAACTCTTCCGATACCAAAGTCTTGCCACGTTGTCAACAGTTTCTGGATTCATCTGCAGATTTATAGCGATTATCACAACTGTAATTTGAGGCTGTTTATTGTGGAAGTACGACATTAGGCACTGAATTAATTCTTGTAAGTACACATTTGGGATTCTCTCAGCACATAATAGATAACATTAATAGGATAACATACTTCAAGTGACAGTAAGTGACATTAACAACCAAAACCCTTACGGCCTAAAATATGTTTTAGTTCAGTTTAATGCAGGGATGCTGAGATTTTAAGTCTCATTTGATTTTAGACTCCAATGTTTAAGAACATTCCCAGGAAGAGTAGTCGACCCTTGGTAGTGCAGTGGTGGTTACATCACACTTTTTTAATAAAACCACAATGAAGTTAGATTTGACTGATTGAGCAGTACGAGTGTTGCATTCATTAGCCCGCAGGAAGATCAGATAGAAAATGATCAAATGTGTTCAATACGCAGAACACTGTCAAGACTTATTTTCAAAGCATCATTTTCACACCATCACACTGTAATTTAAAGAACAAACTCTTCATTAGATAAAATCTGTCCCATCCCATTTTGTGGAGGCAGGTGGCCAGGAGGTAACCTAAGGTAACCATATTTGGATTGCTCCGCTAGAGATTAGTGAGATAAACCCATCTTAAAAGGGGCTAATTAAGACCTGATGGGATTGGGAAGTCACTTCAGAGGTCGGCAATTACATTTGAGCAGGATTCTAACTTAGTGTAATGAGGGGAAAAAAGGAGCCCAAACAGTAGATTCATACTTTTAAAGTTGTAGAAAGTAATACAGATGACAGAAGACTATGTTTTGAGGTGAGACCTCTTAGTCTCATTCAGGGATTTTAAACATGATTAGTGCCTTTCTAAAAATGTTGTTGACGAATAATTGGAGAGCTCATCGAATAGACTATTTACTTACGAGAATGTTTAAAAAAGGTATAGAATTTTGTTAATCATCTCATTAAATCTTATGAAAAACAAACAAACATTTGTTTAACCACTGAGGACATAGTTACTACTGTACACAGACTAAACAGTTTTCTTGCAACATGAATCATCGCAGTCAAATACCTTTTAAAAGTTCTGCTATGTTTATGGTAGAAACAACTAGCCTAATAAAGAAATAAATTAAACGCTGACAATAACTCACCTGTGGATAGGGGAACATGCCGAGCGCCAACTGTGTAAAGAAGAAAGAAATAATAAGAGCTGCAGGATATTCTTCTTGAGACATTTGATATAATACAAACATCTGGGAAAAGGTTCATTCATGACGGCCTGTGCAAATATCTGCAAACACCTGTGCAAACGAATGCAATACAACCAAACAGACCCTTAATAACAATAATAATGCTTACATGGTCAGCTTAAAATGAGCAATTGGTGGAACTTGATATTCTAATCTTATGCTGTGGCTCATATTTTACACATGCATTAATGTATACATGCCTTTCCATTGCCAGTGTCTTAATGACATAGAATTCTGCTAAAGCCACCGATGCGTGCAGAACTTGAGACTTTCTGTCTTTGAGGTAAGCTTAGTGCCCACCTGCTGATAACACTTCCTCATCAAACAACATCAGCTATTAGTTAATAACCCCCCCACGATTACCACCTGCAGAGAACAAAATAGAGGGATAAAGAGAAGCAGGACGGGATTGTGGGACGCTTGTATGTAATGTGTGTTATTTGGGGTGGGGGGGG